TGATGTGCATCATCCATGTCGGGACAGACATAACAAATTCAGAATTATTGCTTAATATGCCTTGTATACCGAATCTCTGTGTAAGCTCATTTCACAGCTTTCAGAAGTCGTGCTTAAAGACCTCAGCAAGTTTTTGGTATGTCTTTTTAAAGGTTTCTGATTTTTTTTTGGGAATATGTTTCTTCAAACAACCTTCAGTCTTAATGTTTGTTCATTGAGTTCTTGTTTTGTATAAGTTGTTTTTTGTATTGATCTAAGATTTCTGTAGATATGTTGATTGTTAGACTTATGTAATTTTTTTAATTTTCGGTCGGTTTTTCCTTTTACAATACAAGTTTTTTTTCCTATTCCTTTTTTCATCCCAGATTTTCACAATAGAAAAAGAACCACAAACTTCGTAATTGAAATTGAAGTTTACACCAGTAGGTTGCGATTTTTTTTATAGCATTGGGTGACAAATTAGTTTACAGTCCACCTGATGGTAAGACGATGCTGTGGCCCATAGACATTCACATTTATCCTCAACTAAGGATCAAAATGCAAAAGCGTTGTCACCCCTGAGGACTAAAATGGAATGCCTCGATTCCAATAAAAAGGGTCTTCGGTTCTCTACACTCACTACACAAAACACAGCAGCATTATGCTGCTATTTTACGCTGGTATTCTATAGAGTGTAGTCGTTCCCCGGTTGAGCCAACCTATTCACATTTACAACCTACCTGCAGCATGACTACCATATATCATATACTGTTTAAGTAAGCTTATTTGAAGATATGTTTCATAAAGTGACATTTATAGATATAATTTATCTTAGAATATTTCAGCATAAAATTAAGGATTTTAAGAACTTATGGTCCTTCATTTGTACATAATAAATAGGAATTTCTGAAAGATGTTTGGTTTACATAGTTTACAACTTGCTGTTTTCCGCAACTCCACATCTAAGCGCGTATTTTGCGTGGGTACTAGATTATTGGTTACAAAATGTATTACAATGTATCCATAAAGGAATCTTTAATTTAGTTTTATATTTGTCAAAGTTGAAAGTTTGTGTATGTGTGTTGTACTATATGTTAGAAAAATCATCTACAAATCCATAGCTAAAAGTTAAAGAATATTTAGTGATACAAACAAACAATACATAACATTATAATAAAAGTGATAATAACTTGTATCCAATGCTCTATGAAGTTTTGAATCCAAGCTAATTTGACAATTCTGAATATTACATAATTATGTTAGTGCATAAAGTTGCACCTTATTTTTGTCCCACTGCTGAGCCCAGGCTTTTTCTCACTTCTGAGATTGTTTTGAAGGAAAGGAATTTGTTTTTTTTTAAATTCATCAGACATGAAGGTTTCATTACTGTTTTCCTTCACCCGTCGGTCATATTATGGTAAATCAGCACTTATAATTGCAATTAATAATTTCAGCTGGTGGTGCTGGCTAGAATTTCATTTAGGATATATTATGCATGCATACTGTGAAATTTATACACATAATGCTGATGTAATATAAACCCTTTCAACTACATCGGTATTATATGCATATTAAATTCAAAAAATATTTTGCCACTTTTAAAAGTAAATTTAATGTGGTATTTAATATTATACAATAATTTTTATCATGGTTTTGCCATGAGTTCCTTCCCACTAAATTTCTTGGCTTCTAAAAGGGTTGTCTCATTTCCATGTTGTGAACTTAAAATAGAATAAACTTAGACCAAACAGACATTGTAAATGCATTTATCATAACCATTACTAAGATTGTCTGTATTGTTGATAGAAAAGTGTTATTTTTCAGAAATCTACAATGTTAAATATAAGAAACAATGGTTATATTTTCATACGTATGGCATAAAGAGATCCTACATATTTTCACTTAATTGAAGGAAAGATTATACTCTACACAGTAGATACATTTGTTAACAATTTGACTTGTACCCACAGTAAACAATTAATGTGCATTTTCAATATGTATTGATGAGTTTTGCTCACTACAAAGAATTGTTCTGTGTATAGGTTTTAATCTTGTTTTTGAGTGATAAACCTTATGGCCACCATTCAATACAAAAGATCTAGTCATGAGTACAGCAACTTGCTGAATGATAGTTTATTCTCAGTTTACTGTTCAGTTCTGACAAATGGCAGCTTCTTGTTTACCTAAATATGACAGTCAGAAGGATTTAGGATATAGTATTCCATGCATCCTGGCTGTACTCTTGATACATACGGCTATAATATGTATATTATAATGAGTGAGCAAGCTATGTAAAAGCTGTGTAAAAGTAAGATGTTTGTCATTGTGTTTGGTATGGCAAGCCATTCATTCTATGAACTCAAAGAACGCTGTGTTGTGTGTATGCATAGCATAGAATGGGGTACTGTGTCTAAAGAAAGATCAAGGTTGTCATTGTGTAATTGAATTCTCTCTTCACATGTTCTTAACATAGTGATATAATAATCTGTGCAGCTATGCATAGTGATGTATGTGTTATGGAACAAGTGGTTGATCAAAAATAAATGCCCTAGTAATAATTATCAGGGCACTGTTTATACTGACCGGGCAATATGAATAGTGACTAGTCGAATCGGGCTATGTAATCAATACTGATTTAAACTTCATTATTTATCACATTATCTAGTTATTATGAATATAACTATGTAAATGTTGTGCGATTTGATATATCCTAACCTAAATCTATTAATCGGTTTTAAGACGATAAGTTAATAATATACCAAATCTGAAATTAACAAGTTTAAAATGTGAAAGAAGAGAAAATAATTTTGCAGTAGCAGTTAACAGCAGTAAGGTATTCCTTCCTTTGCATTACAAAGAAAAAAAAAAATACCTTTGTAAAAAACTTTATTCCCATTGTGTTTAAATCTCAAATATGTACCTATGTTAAAAAAAATCTAACCTAATATATTACTCTGCCCAGACTTTATGCATAAAGCCTGATCAATTTAACTATTTCAATAGTTTTATGTCACATTGCATAATCATATTGGGCATTATTCATACTGCCCGGGCATTGTGAATAATGAATGCCCTATTAATCACTTGATTCAAACATATAAGCTCTTTGTCCATATTTGTAATTATATCTTTTGAAAAGCTATAGCAACTATTAAAGTCATCAGTCATGACACACATCATACTACAAATTAGAAGAAAATATAACAAGAATGCAACTGTAGTCAGGCAACTAACAAACCAAAATTCTATATGGACATTTGTGTAGATTAATCACACTGTGTGTAGCAGATATGATATATAGATGTACTCGTATGTAGTAATGAGCGCATGTTGTTTGTCCCTCAGGTGTAATTATTCCGTACCCCGTGTGTTCGAACGCACTATGAGACCTGATAGTAATGTTTGAGATTACGGGTCTTAGACGGAACCTCCAGCACCTCCAGAGAGGACTGCCCAGCTTATCAGCCAATGTGCTGAGAAAGGCGTTGGTCTCATCAAATACGTGCGTAGAAAGAAACATTAACCACACTAGCATCCGCAAACTTTGCCGACGCAATGAAGTAATCCACCTGAAAACAAAATATAGTCTTCTGTGCCGGCGAACTGAAGTAAAGAACCATTGTAGTATTTAGTCATGGTGTGGAGGTGGTGCTTAGGCTGACAGCTTCAGGCTGATAGTCTTATTTCAACAAGTTTAAACTGCTTTTTTTTTCAAAATCAGTGGCTGTCATAGACAATATTGTATTTAATTCATCTTGAACAGCTACATAACCATTAACTAATGAATCTGTGCAAAATTACCACTATTAATATTTTTTACTATGGAATGAATTTGAATTTGCATTTACATATTTATCTGTATTAAGGGTAAAGGGCGTACCCCTTTAACGAATATTGAACATAATTATTTCAACCAATTCATTGGTTAATTGAAGTGAATCTGTATTATTTATTTTACTATAAGTAGCTTAAATTGTAGTAGGTATATTATATTAAAGAAATAAGAACCTACTTGTGTAAAATATCTGTGAATGATTTTTGTAAATAAACTGCATTAAATGATTATAATATTTTATTGTGTTGTCATTTAAAGAACCAACAGTGATTACCGGATGGTTTCAATATTACGGGAGGTCTTCACTCTCTTACCAAAAGTTACCAAACCAAAATACAAGGATTAGTAAACAATTCTTAACTATTTACTAAGCAATATAAATTAATTACGGGCGCAAAAATGTATTCTATTAATATATAATCTGAACTAGACTTGCAACGAATATTCGGTATTCGGCCCATTCAGCTACTTTTATCCTATTCGGCCGAATACCAAAAATGTAGGTACTATTTTGCCAAATACCGAAAATCTAAGTACTATTTTCCAATAAAAATCAAGTATTATTTTGCCAAATACCGAAAATCTAAGTACTATTTTGCCGAACACCGAAAAATTAAGTACTATTTTGCCGAATACCAAATGCTTAAGTAAGAGGTTTTATTGTAGTCCGATAATTGACGAAATGAAAATATTCACTTATTTTATAATCATTAGAGTAGTCATAGGTACATAATCAACTTCCATATTATAAAAAAACTATCAGATAAATGTCTGTGCACTTGAATAATAGCAATTAATGGAAAGATAGGCAGTAGTTTACACCTTTTCTTCTCACAGACAATCTCAGCTTCAGAGAATATAGACGCTCTGAAGAATAAACACTACTTCATTCCCAGCTGAATACTTTGTCTAATATTCGGCCAGGAAGTCCGCAGAAAATTCGGTATTCGACGTGTGGCCGAATATACTATTCGTTACAAGTATAATCTGAACTAGCTTTTAAAATCTGCTGAAAAAGTAAAAGTGACCATTTTACTGCAAAAAAATTTATTTCTGTATGAAATCCAATCACTAACTCCAATTAACCCCACTACAGTACTGGGAAAGTGAATAACTCCATAATTAACGATATAATATATTTGTATTTACGTCACGTCTGAAGGAAAAACGAAGTTTTCGTTGGTATTTAATGTGACATCAAAAATGTCCCATCATCGGAGTCTGACGAGGCGGTGTGCTGCGAGCTACTAGAAGCTTTGCCTGAAAACTGCTCCGACATGTTCTCATAATCCTGTACTCCAATTATGTTCGTCAGAAGATCACCCAGCGTTATTGTCTATAATCGAAAAGTTTATTTTAAATCGTTAATTCATGATTAATACTGGCAACAACAGCAAAAATAACTAATACTGGCAACTCCAGGCAAAAACCGTCCTCTACCAGTGGCCGCGGCAAAGTATAATATTTTTTTCCAGGGTACACCCTTGCGTGCCGGAACAAACATCTCTCAAGTAGAGACTCCTTAACGAGTCTCTCCAGTTCAACTTAGAAAACAAAGGTTTGCAAATTTACCACCGAAAAGTACCCCTTTGACGTTTCTTCTCACTTTGAAGGCACTCCCTTCGGTGCCTCATTCAGTATTGGGATCCTCTGCGTCGACATATTAAATGACATTACTTACGCTATCATCATCATTATCAGCTTGCGGCGGTCTACTACTGGACATAGGACTCTCCCAAAGCGAGGCCACTTACTTCGATCTTCGGCTTCACGCATCCAGTTGCTGCCAGCAGCATTGCTCAGATCGTTGCTCCATCTAGCCAGGGGACGTCTGACACTGCCTTTACCTAAACGCAGTCTTCACTATGACACGTCTACTCCAACGAGTATCGCATCCACGACAGATGTAACCAGTCCACTGCCACTTCAGCTTGCAAATACTACGGAAAGCTACGTCGGTGACTGGTTCTCCGGCGAATTTCTTCGTTAGGAATCTTATCTACTATACCCGAAAAAAAGGCTGTATTGGCCTCCAAGAAGCTTAGTAGAGCAGATGCCAGTATTTTATGCATGTGAAATATGTAAGTAAATGCTATGGCCCAAACATCTCCATTTATTCTAATTATTAAGAATAAAGATTCAGATGCGTTGTCACCCTTTAGTTCTAAGCGGAACGTCTTCTTTTTCAGTCAAAAGGGTCTCTGATTCTCTAAACTCACCAAAAACAGCAGCATTAAACCGCTATTTTACGCTGGTATTACAATTTTGAAATAATTTTGAAAACAAAACTTCACCTCTGGTAAAAAGGAGAAATATTCGTCGCTCAACATGGTTCTCTCCTCAAAGCTGTGATCACAAAGAATAGACAGCAGGTACCACGACAATTCCCGCGGGAACCGTTCTCCTGAAAACATGAGCTTCACCGATTGAGAAAGCTGAGATGTTGGAAGGGATTGTCAACATTTATAATGTCCTCCAGACCGAATTTCGGTCACGGTGACTAGCCATCGGTGCAGAACAGGACTATAGTGTCTAAGTGTATGCGCAAGCACCGGTGGACTCTACGCCCTCACTATCATAATCAGATGGGACGGTAAATCGACACGACTGGAGAGCGAATAGGCGCATGACCAACGGCTTTACTTGCTTTCCAAGGCATGGGGGTGAGACACCGCTAACTTCCTGACTCCGGGCAGCTACTGAGAATTTCTTGACGGAAAAACTCAGTAAATAAAAATGAAATAAAATATATATATTGAAACCATGGGGTCATTGCGAGTTCGACATAAGCCGTCCTTGCCCCCGCGAGGCGGGTATGCGTAGGCATTTCCCCACGTAAAAAAAAATAGTCTTAAATCTTGCTCTGGTACACTCGGGCTTAGATTTCATTTTATTCATTCATTTTATTGATAAAAGGATGTCTGGCTGATGGTTTCACCAAATCATACTTCCTATCAAAAGTAGGTTTTGTGTTTTATAGCCTCACGAACTATCTCGGTCGGTATCTTTTCGAACAAAAATCGGAAAAAAATAAACTATGACATCAATTTATTACATTGGTATTTATGACGTCAGAAGTCAAAAACTATGGATGCCAAACCACTCGAAATGTTGGAAAAATAAATTGTACTCAAATCAAACTAGTTAAAATTCATTAAATGTATTTATCAATTTACACTATTCAATGTGAAAGTCTTATTATTCAATGTAGGCTTGTAAAAGCTCATATGAACGAGAAAATCTACACTGGTTTAGAAAACAAGAATTTATTAGAAAGGAACCTGCAAGAAGTTTTGAAAAAAAATCATTAACATCATCATCATTACAGCCCTTCACAAGTCCACTGCTGAACATAGGCCTACCCCAAGGAATGCCACAAAGCACGGTCCTGAGCCACCTGCATCGTAACAGGTCATCACTCCATCTAGTGGCTGCATGGCCATCCTCGCCCTGCACTTCGTTTACCGGTAGGTACTAGGTTGCCACTCAAGAACCTTTCTTCTTGAAAAGAAATGCCATGTTACAATTTCATTTACAACTTATAATAAATCAGTACAATGCCAAAAGTACTTATATTAATATTTTAATAAATATTCGCGTTATAACATAAAATATAATAATAACTTTCTCACCATGATTTCTTAACATGCTTATGAACTCGTCCCTCGTAATGACATAGGAGTTCTCGTGAATAGATGCGAAGTTTCTAAATGCATTCCTGAGGCTCCTGTAGTCCTTGGCGAACGCGGACCGATGATTCAAATATAACTTTACAAACTCCTCGAAGTTTATCTCGGTTGAGGGGCGTCGTTGGCACACTTTGTACTTCGCCTCAACGATCAGATTTTCGACCTGAATTTCCACGAACTCTAAGTGAAAAGTAACGCATTGCGATGGCGGAATAAAGAGGCGATGCCGTGGATGTCGTAAGAGGCAATGATTTTTAATATTAACTTTTTTTGTATTATTTCAAGCGATTTTGCTGGGGTAAGATCTATTAATGTGGCGTTATTTAGATTTTAAGATAATTAAAAAAGTTATATATTTACTATGCACTAGATTTCGCATTCCGAACACTCACTTTGTTCAAACGAACTGTACTGCAATCCGTAGACACACTAAATGACACTAAAGTAAGGTGTGTACTTTGGTGTCATTTAGTGTGACTTCGATATTCATACAGTGCGGAGCGGCGCTACAAATATAAAAATTGGTTGACCCTGCAGGCCATCCCTGGAACTTCCCGCTAATTTCAAATGCAAAGCGCTCCAAATTTCACCAAATTATGTTGCGAAATCTCGAAATGTTAAAAAAAAATTTTTTTTTAAATTCCTTCTCCTTCGATATCTCACGAACGACTGAACCGATTTTTATTTTCCAAACGGCATTCGACGTCATTTTTTTGAGGTTAAGAGCTGATTAGTTTTGGAAATTGATCGGTAAAGTCGTTTAAGTTATTCCAAAAAAAAAAAAAACAATTTTTAAAATATTTTATTTTGAGATTTCTCAAAATCTACTAGTCCGAATGAGTTCATATATCACCAAATCTATTCCACACTGAGATCTTTAGAACGCTGTAAACTGCATCTCAATCGATAAAGACCTTCAGGTTTTACATACTTACACACACACACACACACATACATACATCCGTACGGACGTCCACGTGAAATTAGTCAGAATAGCTTCCTGGGATCTCAAAACGTCAAGATCTGATGAAAACTAGATTTTAGAAAATCGGGGTGTAACCAATAACTTCCCTATTTTTGAAAATTTTCGATTTTCTTAGCGGGAAGTTAAAAATTTAAATCAAAGTTTGAACCTGGACGTAGGTAAATTACAATTCAGTAGACAAGTTACTAAAATTATTTGCTGTTCAAGTGAAAAAAAATATAGGTAATAATATCGTAATGCTACAATAGAAATAAATATTTCTTCATTTAAATGCTACTCAATATACAATCATATAATAAGATGTAATTGTGACATAATATTATGTAATATTATATTAGCACATATATGCATTATAAATGACAATTTGAAAAAAATGTAAGTACTCGATATAATTAAAAAGTACCTGGATGACCGGGCTTTGCTCGGTGTTTTTTGGAAATCGTGTTTTTTGTATATATATTTAGATACAATTTACATACTGATGAAATATGAATAGTATTTTTCGATCTTACCGACATAATAAAAAATACTGAACTGGTTATTTAAATAAAAAATCATGAGTACAATTAGTTTAATCTAATGTTACGTATTTTAAAAAAAAGTACTAAAAAGGCCTTGAAATAATAAATTTTCTCACAAAAGAAGGGAACTTGAAAAAAAAAAAAGGAAAAAAAGTCGATCATAAGACATCTGGACTTGAACCGCGGTATCACAATTTCGGGATCGCCCGTTATCCCCTTGAATAATTATACCCTTTAATGGATCGGCAAAATTTAAGTACTTTCGTATTCTAATGATATTTTAGCAGTTTTTCATTGTCTGAAGACATGGAGACATTTTTTAAAAACGAATCCTAGTTAGGTCGATTTATTGCTCCCGAAACCCCCTGCACACTAAATTTCATGAAAATCCTTGGAGCCGTTTCCAAGATTCCGATTATATATATACAAGAATTGCTCGTTTAAAGATATTAGATTAGATAGATAGATAGATATAACTACCCACGTAATAATAACCTATAATGACAAAAGCCCGCGCAGGCGCAACGCGCGCTCTTGTACCGTAGTACATATAACTAAATGTTAAAAACCATATTTTATTTTATCATTTGAAAATTTCCAAGTATTTTTGAATGAAATATATTCTAGACGACTCCTAGCATTGCTCTCTATCTGTTCGTGAAGATTCATCACAAGCGACGACAGACAGGCAAAAATAAATTGTTATTCGTCCGGCCATGCAAATAATCCCCTCAGCTCAATAAGCCAGCTATTTTATTAATACAGGCAGACACTACAACTTTATTTATATTGTATGTATATACGTCGTAGGATAATTAGATAAACGGAATTTTCGGAAAAAATCTAGGGATATCACAAAAACGCCGATAATTAGACAATTTGTTTTTGTTTTTTTTTTTTTTAATAAGAATATGCATAATGCTATAATATTACTAATATTCCCCCTAACCACTCGTGGTAACCTGAAATTGCTTGTGTTACGAGTGGTTCACGCCAGTAGTCGAATGGCGGATTCGAAACCACGACCTTTTTGATTTTGCGGCCCGCGCCCTGTCATTAGGCTACTGTCGCTTCAAACAGTGGCTATGACATTTCTCAACCTTACAGAAAAAAACATTAGGGGTTTTGCAAATTTGAATATATAAGGGGAAATATACCTCACTTACAGATCCAGCAAATAAGTGAGGATAATTAAGGTAACAAAATCAAGTTTCCAAAAACATAACATTCAAATATTAAATAAATCAAAACTTTCATACTAACTAACTAACCAAGCCTTTTACTTTTAAAATATCAATATTTTCACTTAAAAAGAAATTACCCCTCTACTTTCCATTTAGCCATTTGAGGTTATATTTCCCCTTAACTCTGATCGGCTTGATTTTGGTTTATAGGCGTGTAGGTTATAAGTAATAATTTTTTTTTGTAAAATGATAACCTTTCACTTTTTACAAAGGAATATTGACCCAAAGTTACTTCTGTAAAAGCCCTTGCTCACCTCCGCAGCTACGGCTTATTGGTCACCTTTTGCTACGGCAGGCGGGGCTGCTCTCCCTTCACGCCTACGGCGTTACAAAAACAATCTAGGGGTAGGGCAGACAATACTGCGTGGAGTCGGGGCATGCTGATTCGGTTTTAGAATAGATTAGATAGATAGAGAGATTAATCCCAGCCGCCAAATTTCGTGAACGCACTACGCGGCAAACGTCCCGATACCATCCACAACATCTGGATGCTTGGCGGTCCATCACTCACAAGGAGTTTTCTTCCGCGTACGACCTCTCTGTGGAATAGTTTACCACCAGCGATTTTTCCAGAGCGATACGACCTAGGGAGTTTCAAGAAAAGATCTTACTCCTTTCCAAAGGGCCGGCAACACACGTGCAATTCGGCGGTAGTCACTTAACATCAGGTGAGCCGCATGCTCGTTTGCCCCCTATTTTATACATATAAAAAACAGATTCGACCAATCATCTAATTTTAGTTATTCGTTATAATTATTATAAGTTTTCGCTTTATCCCTAGATTTTTTATCGAAAATTCGGTTTATCTAATTATCCTACGACATATTTACCATAACATAACATGACAAAAGATAATTGGTAGTATGAGAAAAATATTACAGCTTCCTATAGATAGTGGCATAACCATCTCCTTTACGTCAGACGTAAATACCAAAGAGCCGTTGTAGGTGGCTTAGGGGCTAAGCGGTCGCTGTAAATTTCACAGTACGCGAGAAACCCGTGTTCAATCCAATGAAATCGTGAATTGCAATTATAAGTGCAGATTTACCACGAGCTCGGCGGTGAAGGAAACATCGTGAGGAAATCTGCATGTCTGAGATATAAGAAAAAAAAGGTTTTCGAAGACATGTGAAGTTTGCCAACACGCATTGGGGCCGCGCGGCGGACATTTCCTTGCCCTAAAACTCTCTTAGAAATTAGAGGAGGTTTGTGCCCAGCAGTGGGATACGCTGCAACTTAAATACCAAATACCCTAGGTGAAGAACCTGTAAGTGTGAAAGTGAGTGTCTCCTTTAAGAGCATTCTTTGATGGCAGGGTGAACCGCGTATATGTGAGGCAGTGGCGTATCACTAACCCACCCTCCAAGGAGGGCTACAGTCACTGTCTCGCTCCTCAAGGGGGGCTTCAGGATTGAGGACCCCAAGTCCTTGTGGTACCAATTCCTGAAGCCCCTTGGGGCTAGTAAAACGTGAATAACACAAAACTCCTGAAGTTTTGTCTTAGTCAAGTTCAAATAAAATAATCTTTATCAAATTATACTGTTTTATTATTTTTGGCCGTAGATAGTGCCGCCCGACCCTTGTTCTGACTACGCCACCGATTTGAGGTACCTAATCACAAAGTTTTCCTTACACACCAACGCAAGATGTGAACAACTTGTCCGGAAGAGTGAGGATAGAAGTATAATATAGAGTATTACTTTGATAAAAATATTTTTTAAACAATTGGAGAGACAAACATGTGCTTTGGTCGTCGGTAAATATGGGGATGTCCCGTCGTCAGCCGAGCAAGCGGTTGTCATCTGATGGTGAATGGGCTCTGCAGCTTACACCACACAAAGAGTGATAAAATGCATGTGTTATAATGATTTCTTATATTTAAGCGAACAATAATAATAATAATAGTAATAATACTAGTTTTTACGGAATTTATCGCGTATATTTTAACTTTTTAAATACCCGACGTTTCGAACGCTTTACAGCACTCATGGTCACGGGCAGGACTGAGATGTTCAACGTCCATATGTCATAGTTAACCGCGGTTACCATAGATTAAAATTTAACTTTTGTTCCGATCTATGCAGTATGAACTTATGGTATCTTGAAGTCTTGCAGTTGCATGCTTGGGTTGGGATTTAATTTTATTTATTATAGGATCCCAAGCAGATGGTAGCACCCAGCCATCTTCTCTAATGAAATTAGGATGTTTTTTGATTTCAATAGCTTCGCGAATCATCCTTGGAAGGAATCGGTGTTCTTTAGCGAGGATCTGCGGTCTATCAAATCTGATGGAGTGACGGGGGCGATCCTGTACGTGTTCACAGACTGCAGACTTCCCGGAGCGTCGATTCTTCACATCAGCTATATGTTCTTTAACGCGGGTTTTTATTGATCTTTTAGTTTGTCCTATGTAGGAGAGACCACATTCACAATCAAGCTTGTACACTCCTGCATCTTGCAGAGGGACATTACACTTGACCGATGGTAAAAACTGACCAATCTTCTTCAGCGGCTTGAAGTATGTTTTGATGGAAGCGCGCTTCAAGATGTAGCCAATCTTGTCAGTGACTCCTCTAACATATGGCAGTACAGCAGACTTTGAGGAGAAAGCCCTGCTTAGTTCTCCCATAAATCCAAGGTTCTACAAGCGGTACGTAGATGACACTTTCACAATTCTACCTTTAGATAAAGTAACTGCATTTTTAGACCATCTTAACTCTATAAATTCTAAAATTCAGTTCACAATGGAGTTAGAGGCAAACAATTCCTTAGCTTTTCTAGATGTGTTAGTAATTCGGAATCCTGATAACACCTTGAGCCATACTGTGTATAAAAAAAAGACCCATACAGATAGATATTTAAACGGTGATTCTCACCACCATCCTTCACAGTTAGCTACCGTGGGTAAATCTTTGTTTCAGAGAGCACGAGGGATCTGTGACAGTAAACACCTGGCTGCAGAGCTCCACCATGTCAAGCAAGTTTTGCATGACAACAAGCTTCGAGTCCCGCGCCTACGTCACAGAGAACGAGTGAAGCCGGCAACAGTCGAGCGTGTACCTGCTGTACTGCCGTATGTTAGAGGAGTCACTGACAAGATTGGCTACATCTTGAAGCGCGCTTCCATCAAAACATACTTCAAGCCGCTGAAGAAGATTGGTCAGTTTTTACCATCGGTCAAGTGTAATGTCCCTCTGCAAGATGCAGGAGTGTACAAGCTAGATTGTGAATGTGGTCTCTCCTACATAGGACAAACTAAAAGATCAATAAAAACCCGCGTTAAAGAACATATAGCTGATGTGAAGAATCGACGCTCCGGGAAGTCTGCAGTCTGTGAACACGTACAGGATCGCCCCCGTCACTCCATCAGATTTGATAGACCGCAGATCCTCGCTAAAGAACACCGATTCCTTCCAAGGATGATTCGCGAAGCTATTGAAATCAAAAAACATCCTAATTTCATTAGAGAAGATGGCTGGGTGCTACCATCTGCTTGGGATCCTATAATAAATAAAATTAAATCCCAACCCAAGCATGCAACTGCAAGACTTCAAGATACCATAAGTTCATACTGCATAGATCGGAACAAAAGTTAAATTTTAATCTATGGTAACCGCGGTTAACTGTGACATATGGACGTTGAACATCTCAGTCCTGCCCGTGACCATGAGTGCTGTAAAGCGTTCGAAACGTCGGGTATTTAAAAAGTTAAAATATACGCGATAAATTCCGTAAAAACTAGTATTATTTCAATGCATGTGTTATATTGGCTTTATCTTTCAAAACTTCACAACGACGAGTTCACTGTAAAGGATTGGATAGTATCCTATCCACCCCTTCGAACTCTTAAGCGATTAAAAGGAGCCCGAACATTTAGTAAAACCTAGATAAATATATATTGAAATAAATACCTCATATTCAGAGGGAAAGAAACCCAGCGCCCTCATCAAATCAGGGAGCGCGTCTAAAGGGATGTAGTCCTTGACGCGTCTCATAGACGGTGAGAAGGTGCCTTGGCACAATATCTGGATGTAGTAAAATAAGTCGCGGATCTCGTGGAACAGCCAGCCAGGCCGACCGTTTTCGATTAAACAATAGTAGGGATCGAGGTCTCCACCTCCCAGCTTAGTTGTTTTGTCTAACGCACTAGAAATGAAAAAGACAAAAGAAAATTTAATATTTTGTTGCAACGTGACGTGGTTCCATCACCCAATTTTAATTCCGTTTGATAGATTTAGATCTGTCACTTATAAGAGTTACAGTTACCCGACTAACTACAGACAGACGGGGTGATCCGTCTGCAACAGATGACGTCATCAGTCCGTCTAGGTCATCACTTACTTTGTTATTACAATATACTAGGACAGCATCATATCCTGAGAAAAATAAGTTTGTTTGTATAGCATCTACAGATTTCTTTATAGAACATAAAATGTTCATGCTAACAATTTTTTTTCTTTAATAGAATTACGATCGATACCCTACAATCTTATTTTCTTATATATAATCTATATAAGCTTATCTTCTTTTTGAAACCAATTTTTATGATTTCGAGTTACTATTAGGAAGATGCTGCCGCCCGTTTCCCGTTTAGTTTCCTTTTGTCGCCACTTACGACACCCACGGGATAATATACATATGGGATAATATACATATGGGATAATATACATATGGGATAATATACATATGGGATAATATACATATGGGATATTCTTACGCCGCCAATGCACGACAAATAGTGACAGGTACCTGTAATCAGCAGCCCACTGTGTCACGCAGCTGTCCTTCGCTCCTATTGTAAACAGAGCACCGTGGTCTTCCCGATAACACATCTGTGTCACCTAAACGAATTGATAACTATAAACAAGCTTTCGATTACATTTTTAGGGCATTATTTTTTATTTATCCTTTATTGCAAACACCTTTGGCTAGGGGTGACAAAGGTCGCAGGGCTTCGAGGTGATAGATACGGTGTATTTCCCGTGCACCCCTACATGAAGGAGTGGAGAACTCCAGCCTTTGAGTAATCAACCAACCAAAGAGTCCAGCCCTTTGGCGGGCCTTGTAAGGGCTATCGCCGTCTGCGCTACGTAAGTGTACAAAAGCGTTACCGTAGACTAAACTACTAATCAAACTACTTATCTTTCTCTTTTATCTACTTCTCTCTATAATTAATAGAGTCAGGTGCTACTTTGCGGAAATCGATTGCATTAAATATGTTAAATATTGATTACCTAAGAAGTGCATAATAAAATGATGAGTATTTCTCTTATCTAGTTAGCAGAGCAGAGCACCACACACAATTTTATTTAATATGTGTATAGATGAAAAATATTAACCTCTATTGGATGCCCCAACAGACCGATGTGTTTCCATGGATTGCCATCTAGAGGCATCTTCTGTAGACCAATTATATTTTTAGTGGCGAACAGGAGATATTGTGAGATCTCGTCTCCTTCTCTCTTAGTTACCAGTTGGATCTTACGTACTGGATGCTCGAAACGAGGGCCGAGTATTGTAGATAGGGTCATTGTTGTTTTATAATTTATAATTTTATATTTGTGCTGGAAAAAATAATAGAAAATTATTATAATCAACCCTTAAAAGTTTTTTTTTATTTGCTACAAGCGCGTTGTTTAGTAGCACAGCGGGGTAAGCTAAGTTAACATTCTATAAGTAATCGTTAACGTTAATAAATAAATATGAATAAAATCAACGATAAGTCACATAAATATCACGCGATTGAACGTTAAGATATTTCATTTCCATTCCATTCATTATTTTTTTATAGTTTTCCATTACCAATCGTTGACAGCTCGTGTCTCGCCAGTAACGCAAAGTCAAGAATTTGCGTTTAGAAAAAGCCGAAATTGTGAGCTTTTCAGGTACTAATTAGGCACCTAAAAAGCCTCTAATTTTGCCAAATTTAGAAATTAGGTGCTCTAAAATGTTCAAGAAAATGCATGTGTGAGAAATAAAAAAAATACTTTACATCGGACACTTCCTTATTCTAAAACACTGAGAAATGCGATGTGGCCCAGCAGTGGGAATTTTGTATATTATTACTTTACTATATTTAATTGGACCCTACATTTCTTTACTAAAGTCATAGCCAAAATAATAAATATTGTAAGTTAATGATATGTACAGCATGTACTTACTTCGTCATTTGCGACTAGAATCATAGGTAAATCAGTGCGACAAGTTTCCGGATCCACATCTTTTGGATTAGGCCAAGGTATACCGGTCAGCGGGACAGCCGTCTGGTCTATTCTATCCAAGCTTAGTATTTCCAGATACTCGTCAAAGCTAGCTCCAATATCGTACTCTACAAGGATGCGGTCTGCGCCGAGTGAGACCAGCTTGTAGTCTCCGTTTCCGTTCTTTTCGGGCAAGAAGAAGACCGCGGTAATATCTTTGTAATGCGCCCTGTGCTTCGCGATGAACTTCCACGCCAGGGCAGAACAATCATACTTGTACAGGCATATCGTTCTACCCTCATCCTGCAAAATTTTCATTGAAAGTAAAGCGATATTTCACTAAAACAATTCTTAATTTATGCTAATTGTTTTTTTTAATTTGTTATTATTATCTATATACTTTTTTATAGAATAAGGGTGGCAAACGAGCACACAGTTCACCTGATGGTAAGTGAATGCTGTGCACATATACATCTACATCTACCTTTGATTAAAAATTAAAATGCACATGCGTTGCCACCCTTGAGGGCTAAGATGGAATGCCTAGTTTCCAGTGAAAAGGGTCGCCGGTTCACTACACTCACCGTACGAAACAACGAATATGAAACAGCATTGAGCTATTTTACGCTGGTATTCTCTAAGAGCGTGGTTCTTCGCCGGACAGTCCTTCCTTACACTATTTTCATTGCTTTTTTTTTAATAAATAATATGATACAATAAAACCTTTAGTAGAATAAAATGTGTTAAAATAAAATAAAAAAAATCTAAATCATCATCATCATTCAACCCATAGATACTGAATATATAGAATATATATATATATATACTACATAGGCCTATCCAAGGAATGCCATAAGTTTTAAAATTTAAAAATACGGTACTACGTTATTTTACAAGGAGTAGAAAATTTTTAAACGTAAGTTCAAATACATATATAAATAATGATATATTTACCGTTTTTGCAGTTTTTGAAAATACAAGTAAATAAGGCTTCCACTTTTATTTTAAATTATCCCAATATGAATGTGATTTATGGACAATAACGTTTTCGGTTACCGGAATTATTCGTGCGTATTACGAATAATGTGCGTGCGCAGTAAAATCAGTTAAAATAATGCAATCACGCATTCTGAACTTTAAAAGATAAAAAGTACAGAATATTAGAGATTTTTTTAAATTACTTTTTCGTCACTATATTACTTATTCTGAACCTTCTCTGCAAATTTGGCCGGTTATTGCAAAATAACCCTGTATTACACACATACCGTCCAGATTCTTAGAAGAGCAGTAAGCTGACCCCTTCATAATAGATAGCAACTCGATACGAGGTAAAGTCAAGCTACAGAGCTGTATTATAACTACTGCACGGACCACGATCGCACAGAGCACCAGCGTAAAATAGCAGCATAATCGTTTCGTATGGTGATTGACGCGCATTGGGGACCGTTTTTACTGGTACGAGGCAATCCATATTAGTGCTCAGGGGTGGCGAAACATTTTGATGTGATAATGAGGATAGATATAGGTGTCAATGGGCTATAGCGTCCACTTACCATCAGGTTGACTGTGATCGTTTATCATCCTTACTTTTATAAAAATTTGGTGTGAACCGAAAAGCAGTCAGATGGGTTGATTTAATATAAATTTTTTGTTTGAGTAATATTAACAAAGTTACGTACAGCGCACGCCAATGTGAGAGAATCAGGGCTGTATGTTATTTCCTTGATGGCGTATTTGGTGTCCCTGAAGGGTTTGTTTGTGCGTATTTCAATCGTGGTTGGGTCCAAGAACAACAATTCTCCTGTATTAAGACCGCAAGCTAGGTGCAAGCCTGCAAATTTATGTTATTTACCTATTAATATTTAAAAATTTACCATTTTTTATCAAACTTTACAAACATAATAAATAACCTAGTCAAAATCAACATTAGTACAATAAGGTACCTGCAGAGAATCAGGCCTGTCGACTAATAAGGCCTAAGTATCAATATGTTTGATTTATATATTACACTAGATTAGTAATTACCGCGCCATAGCGATGCCACTGCACATATGGCCACAGCCATATGCCTAGCTAACGTCAATTCAGTGTTCAATGTGACGCCGACAAAGTTGAGCCGAACGAGCCGCAACAATAAATGGGTAATATATAGTCAAAGAATGCGATTCAAGGTCACAAAAACGTATTAAATCAAGCGGAATCACTTTCCACACATAAGTTTGGTTCATGTTTTCATATAAACGTAAAAACCTAAAATAATTAAATAAGATTATCGAATATTGTGATTTAGATTAAATGTTGCCACTTTTCCGCCTTTGTGATTATCCCACATTACCGGGAGACTATATAATTCACGGAGTAAGTTAATTTGTTACCTCTACTTCTCTCTCATTAAAAAAATTGAAACTTATAATAAAAACTACGTTTTAACTTTCATACAAAATAATTAATTATTCTTATTTTAGTTTATTCATGAATGAGCTATTAAATACATTTCATTACCTATTTTATATTAATAAATTTACATCAATTATCATCATTATCATTACAGCCCTTCACAAGTCTACTGCTGAACATAGGCCTCCCCCAAGTAATGCCACAAAGCACGGTCCTGAGCCACCTGCATCCATCGACTTCCTGCATATCTTACCAGGTCGTCACTCCATCTAGTGTACACTACGCCTACCGGTACGAGGCTGCCACTCGAGAACCTTTCTTCCCCATCGGTTATCGGTTCTTCGAGCTACATGGCCGACCCATTGCCACTTCAGCTTACTAATCCGTTGGGCTGTCGGTTACTCTGGTTTTACTGCAGATATCCTCATTTCTGAGTCACCAGAGAAAATCCGAGCATAGCCCTCTCCATAGCTCCTAGCGACCTTAAGCGTCCTCATACGGCCAGCAGTGAAGGACCACGTCTCAGATCCGTAAGTCATCACTGGCAACACGCACTGGTTGTACAATCTAGTTTTTAGAGAGAGGTATACCTGCAAAGATATGTCGTAATTTCCCGAACGCTGCCCAGCCGAGTTGAATCCGTCGATTGACCTCTCGGTCGAAGTTGGACTTACCTAGTCGCACTATTTGTCCCAGGTAAACGTACTCGTCAACAAATTCGAGCATAGTGCTCCCAACAACTACCTGCATAGGTGTGACATGGACATTAAACATGATCTTTGTTTTGTCCATGTTCATCTTAAGACCTATCCGTTGGGAGGCACTATTGAGGTCATTGAGCAAAGTGCTTAAGTCCTCCAACGATTCTGCCATAAGGACTATATCGTCGGCAAATCGAAGGTGAGTGATGTAATCGCCATTGATGTTAATAGCGTATCCTTGCCAGTTCAGTAGCTTGAAAACGTCTTCCAAAAAGAGAAGAGTTTCGAGGATATAACGTCACCCTGTCTTACACCTCTCTGCAGTTGGATAGGTTTCAAGTTCTGGTTCTGTACTCGGATAGCCATCGTAGCCCTACTGTAACAACACTTCAAACACAACAAACACTTCAGAACTTCGATATACCGACAGTCAACTTGGTACCGCTGAAAGGACTGTAGCACCGCCCAAATTTCGACAGAATCAAATGCTTTCTCATAGCCCACATACGCCTGGCAAAGTGGCAGATTGTACTCTTCGGTCTTCTGTACAATCTGCCGCAGGGTATGTATGTGGTCTATGGTACTGAAGCCTTTTCGGAAACCGGCTTGTTCGGGAGGCTGGAAGTCGTCGAGTCTGCGTGCGAGACGATTCGTAATGACTCTCGAAAACAGCACGTAGACGCGGCTCAGAAGGGAAATCGGTCTGTAGTTCTTCAAGAGACCGTTGTCGCCTTTCTTAAAGAACAAGACCACTGCACTTCTGCTCCACGCCTCTGGAGTAGTGCCACGTGCCAGTGCCATGGAGGACGGAATTGAAGAGCTTCTGAACGACTTCAAGTACTGGTGTTCCACCCGCTTTCAGAAGCTCCGCTGTAATTCCATCCTCGCCTGGGGCCCTACCGTTTTTAATCTCGTGTCTAATCTCGCTGAGACTGACGTCCGGGATATCATCGAAATAGTGTCGGATAAGACTTGCTTTTGTATGGTTACTCACACTTGCATATGGCTCCAACGATGATGTGTACAGCTGCCCATAGAACCTCTCAATCTCACTCAAAATCTCAAGTGTCCCGGAAACGATGCTGCCACACTCAGTCTTCAGCTTTGACAGTTGGCTCTTACTGGCAGACAGATCTCTGGCAAAGACTTTGGAGCCCTGGTTCCGCTCGATCGCTTCTTTAATACGAGCAGTATTAAAGTTGCGTAAGTCTCGCCGCATGCATTTGGAGATCTATCTGTTCAGTTGCCTGTATGCTGTTAAATCTGTTGACGATTGCAGCCTCATCTCCCGTCTAACAGCCATGAGATTAAGAGTGTGATCGGAGAGTTTTTGTGTTCTTCTACGGCGGGTCTTGCAGAACTTAGCTCCGACCGCATGGACAGCTTCCACGAGCTTGTCATTCATATCGTCCACTGCATTGCAATGTTGTAGGCACTGAAAGTGATTACGTAACTCGAGCTGAAAGGTTTCGGGATTCTGGATTAGAGCACGAGGGGGACGGAGCGTTGACTTCATTAGACGAGACCTCTCCAACTTAACGTTTAGGTTCAGTGCGCCTCTAACCATTCGGTGATCGCTGCCAGTTTTCACCCTTGCGATCACTGAGACATCACTGAACAGTTGGCGTCTGGTCGTCATTAACAATCTCATTTTTTGTCGAACCGTCGGGGCTCTACCTGGTTCACTTCCTGTGGGGCTGCTTCTGGAAGAAAGAGTTCATCATAAAGAGTTCCTCTTTCTCCATAAAGTCGACCAGCTGCTGGCCCTTTCGGTTCCGTTGCCCTACTCCAAATTTCCCTAACTTCAGCTCACCGTTTTCTCTTGTGCCTAGTTTTGCGTTGTAGTCTCCCATCAACACCGTGTAATGGGTTTTGGAGGAATTCATGGCTTTGGAAATATCCTCATACATTTCCTCCACCGCCTCATCGTGATGTGCCGAGGTTGGTGCGTAAACCTGTATGAGCTTCAGCGAATACCGTTTGGTGATTCTGAGTATCAGGTACGCGACCCTCGTCGACACACTCCCAATCTTTACAACGTTGTTGACGAGAGACTTGTGGACGATAAATCCGACACCTCCTTGGGACAGATGGTCGCCCTCCCGGTGATAGAACAAGTTGCCGGATTCGAGAATCACCGTGTCCTCCCCCTCTCTTCGGACCTCGGATAATCCTATAATATTCCAGCGCAACTTGTCTATCTCTTCTTCCAGCTCCAGGATCTTCTCGTCAGTCCTCAGGATGCGTGCGTTAAATGTTGCCAGGTCAAGTCATCGTAGGTGGCAACCGAACCTCCACCGGATATTCTTAGCACCCCCTGCCCCGCCGTTACCATGGTCGCCACCGTAGCCAGGAATAGCGGGGCCGCCGGGGACTGGGGGGTCTATTTGTGTAATTGTTCACGGGGCGTATATTGCCATAGGTGCCACGCTTGGCGAGCGGGTTGGCAACCGCAGTTTTTTTTGTCGTACAGTTGCTGTTATCAGGAAGATGCTGCTGCCCATCTCCTGCCTGTTTCCCTCTGTCGCCTTTTACGACACCCACGGGAAGATATGGGGTAGTGGATATTCTTAACCGCCACTACACGGCCGGCACGGCCACATTAATTATAATATTATTAATATATGAATTTTATATTTTATATTGATTTTATTTTATTACATATTTTATATTGTTTGACTTATTAGGACAATAATAATACTTACAATTAACTGCAGCAAAAAAAACTCCTTTTTATTTTGGGTTAAATTTCATATAGTAAGCCACACCAACCCGCCATTGCATGTTTGGTGTGTCTTATCTTTACCTAATCTTAGCGACGGTATTGTTTTCGCAATTTGTGTAAGTGAGACAGATATATATTTATTTAAAATGTGTAGTAATTTCAATGGGGAATGAAAGTGAACGCAAGTAAGACGAAAGTGATGGTTTTTGAAAGAGAAGAAAGCAAAACGGTATGTGAAATAAGAATAGAAGGAGAGTTGATTGAGCAAGTGGATGAGTTTGTGTATTTGGGATGTGTATTTAGCAGGGATGGTAGATATGATAGGGATATAGAACGACGAGTAAATGCAGGGAATAGAGTGAATGGGGCACTACACTCTATTATGAAGAACCAGAATTTGTCAAAACAGGCACGTATGGTAATTCATAATGCTGTGTTAGTCCCTACTTTAATGTATGGTAGTGAAAGCTGGGTGTGGCAGAAGAAGCACGAAAGTAGAATAAATGCTGTAGAAATGCGGTCTTTAAGGAATATGCTAGGGTGTAATCTGAATGACAGGGTGAGAAATTGCGTGATAAGAGATAAATGTGGTATGCAAGATGATGTTGTGACCAGGATTAAGAAAGGAATGCTTCGGTGGTTTGGTCACGTAGAAAGAATGAATGAGGAAAGAGTGACAAAGCAAATTTATATGGCAGATGTGAATGGCCGAGTCGGGAAGGGACGCCCTAGGAAAAAGTTTATCGACCAAATTGGCGATATTTTGAAAATGGGCCAAGTTAGAAGTACCCTTAACCGACGAGCATGTATGCGTAGATATATGGATGTAAAGGAGGCGAAAGAGGTACGTCAGGTTCGTGCCAAATGGAAGTCCGTAGTCTCTGCCTACCCCTCTGGGTGACAGGCGTGAGTGTTTATGTTATGTTATGTAATTTCAAAGCTACGTCGTCGCGGTTGGATAGTGGTTACAATTTTTTCGACGCGCGGTAATGAGGTTTGCTCCTCTAGTTTTGTATAACGTTTTGTTTATCTCAATGAAGTAACATAAATAGTAATTATAAAAACCGATCTTGCTCAAGGAGATAACAACAGACTCCTACTCCACGATGATGTCTACAATTTTACAGAGACGCGCTATCTCGCTTTCTGCCACCAGAGTTGCATTATCTATTATAAGATACCACCGCACTGCACCAATAATAAAAATCTATCGAAATAAATCTTAGATATGCTTTATAATATTATACTTAGCTATCTAAAATTGTAATCTTTATCTTTGTGTTGTTATTATATATACTCCCTCTTCGTGTGTAGTTTTTTGTTTTATAATGTATTTTGTATGACTTTTAAAATATTATAAATGCATATAGATCATACTCTTTTATTACTAAACTAATGTTATAGTCCAAAAACGATCTGGTTTCAGTTGTCCGAACAGTGTAAAGACAAAATGTGTCGAGGAATAAAAGAAAAAAAAAATGTAAGTCCGCCAATACGCACTGGAGCTGCTCGTCGGACAAATTGCTCAATAACCTTCCTAGAAATTAAAGGAGGTCTAGAACTCATCTTCACTACTACCATCATCAATTCAGCCTACTCGTAGATTGCCTTGTAGATTGGGTTGACAACCGCGGTTTTTTATTTTTTATTTTAAGTTAATTTCATGAAGATTCTGTTCTGCCCATTTCCTGACTTAGTTTTCAGCTGTCGCCTCTTACCACACCCACGAGATGATATGGGTTAGTACCTCCTCTCTCTCCTCCTTATTGCAGATTTTTAGTGGTAAGTGATTGGGTGAAATGGCAGTAGGCTGGTTATATACCTCGTAAAACCGATGAACGATAGGGAGAAAGGCCAATTGATGCCACCTTGTGCTGGTAAGCGCATCGTTGGGGCACGACCGTCCAGTACGTAGGTACATAGTACATAGGTACTGGCAAAGATTTAAATGGCGGATCGTTTGCCAGCGTTTCTGGATAATATGGTTGACCCTCACTACTATATTGGATGACCTTTTTTAACGTCTGGAAAAAAATAGGGTGTTAACATGTGTACGAAGTAGAATCCTATGGCACTGATATTTTACAAAAAATAAAAACACAATTTTTGAATCAAACGTTTGAAATTTTTTTTAACAATTACTTTGCCCTTTGCCTTGAGCATGTGACCCTGCGAAGTGACAAGGTCAAAGATGCCTACTAAATTTATTGTTTTATTGCCGTTCGTAAAGTAGGGTGGCTATGATTTGAATTTCGATAGTTTTTAATTGATTTATTTATTTAATTAAAAAAAATTGTTTTAATTTTTGTAAAATACCTGTGCCTCTGTGTACGCTTCTGCTCCCTTCACATGTTACACCCTATTTTTTCCAGACGGTAAAAAAGGTCACCCAGTATAGTAGTGAGGGTCACCCAACACTGCGAGACACGCGGAAACCAGAGTAAGTACACTCAGGAAGTCAATGGATATAGACGGCTTGGAGCGATGTTTCTTAGAAGTCTATGAGGTAGGCCACCAGTAGAGTTGTGATGGGAATATATGATAACTATGTGAGTGATGAGATATTCCTTAGTTACATTTAACCTGATGGTGAATACTTCATGCTGGTAACAGACAGTTGCGGCATAGCCACGTCAACGCTGCACTTGATGGAATCGTCCTTCGAAGGAGTAACGATCTTGTAACGATCTCTAAGGTCCAGTCTCGTGAACAATTTATGCTGGTCGAAGTTATACATTTCTACTGTCCCGTCAGTGTAGCCAACGCAAACAAAAGGCCTGCAATCAGGTAATATCTTCTTTCAGCTTATGTAATGAATAAACATAACGCAGTTGCGGAGTAAATTCCATCGGCTAACGAATCCCACCAGAGTTATACAATCGCACTGCAGATCTTCCGCTTCTCACGTAAGGCTGCGAGGCCATTATTTATTTACGAATAGAATAGAATACCGTTACAGCTTATTAAAGTCTTCATAGGGGGATATTTGCCATAGTTTGCCACGCTTGGCAAGCAGGTTGGCAACCGCAGTTTTTTTTTTAATTTTAAGGCGTTATTAGGAAGAAATTGCCACCCATCTTTCAATTTTTTTCCCTATGTAGCTTCTTACAACACCCAACTAGAATAGAATACAACAGTATTTATTTCCATTCTGGTTAGCCAGTCAAATCTTCATCTATATGAAGTCGTCCACGCAACTCTTCTATAGTAATATGTGAATGAATGCTGTTAAGTTGGCGGATTTTTTTTACGTTGCTCCTCATATTGGACCGACGTCTGGATATCTTCCAGCTGTCCTATACGAGATGTTGTACCGTCATCTGTTGAAGGCCTTGAGGTCTTACTGAGAATTCCCATAGTCGACCCTTACGACGTCGACGGGACGAAATGAGGTGATGGATTCGGGCCTAAATAAAACAAAATATTATAGGTACTATTGAAATAGCTATACTGGATCTAAATGCTGTTGCTAACTGGAATTAAACGTTTGAAAAAAATTACAATTTTTTGCCCTTTGCCCTTGAGCCTGTGACCCTGCGAAGTGACAAGGTCAAATATGCCTACTAAATTTATTGTTTAATTGCCGTTCGTAAAGTAGGGATGGGTATGATTTGAATTTTGATAGATTTTAATTAATTTATTTATTTTATTCAAAATTTGTTTTTATTTTTTGTAAAATATCAGTGCCATGGGCTTCTACTCCGTTCACGTTACACTCTATTTTTTTCCAGAATGTTAAAAAGCTCATCCAGTAAACAGTATGCACTTATAAATCGTCTTATTCTTTAATAAACTGAAATCCGAAACGACGGAACTGATTTAAAAATGTGTGGTCAGACCACGTTGGTGGCGTTTCGAGGCGCGTCTCACAAAGATTCAGAAATCACCCGAGCGAAGGCGAGGCGGATCGCTAAAATAATATTTAACTTTCCCTTTTCGCGTTGGAGTTCATCAAAAGGTATTGTTTTATTGCACTTATATACTTCTCAGGGTGTACGGTAAGAGACAGCGCTGGTGATGTCTTGTTGTCCATGATGATCATGTTCTTCTCCGTTACGAATTCCACGAAGCCGATACCCTGGTCGTTTGTGCCTACGAAGGAAACAATAATATTTATTTTATTTTATTAATTTCTTCACTTCGTGTTACTTTAGTAAATAGTCTGGTGCCCACCGCAGGATGTTGGGTTACCAAGCCAAAATTCTAGAGATCTGTAATTTCACATAAAAATTACTTTAAAGGCCCGTACATTATAATGATATTTTGGCTCTCCCCTTGGACCGCAACAGCGTTAAGACATATGCGCGTGTGTGATTATAGTGTTTATTTTAAAAAATAAATTAGTTTTGAAAATAAATAAAAGTGATATAATTTTTTCCAAGTACTAGGCACGCATAAAACAGTGTGTCAAAACAATCACCCAATACAGAGAAGAGGCATGAGTAAGACAACAACTACTGAGAGCTGAGACAACGAGCGCATCCTAACGCTACTCTGCATGCACGCTCGCACTGTCGCTTGTCGCAATTTATAAGCGTCAGCGGCTAGCGGGTAAATATTAGTATGGTCTAAAGTAATTATTATTTTATTTTACTACAACGTTATAATTTAGATTTATTAAAGTTTTTTTAAGTTATCAAAATGTCAGTTGCACGCACACCTACGAAAATCAGTTCTAAATCTATTCGTCCTACACACTATGGATCAGATTCAGGGATCTATACTCTAGGGAGCTATGAACATAATATAGATGTTAATATTAAAAAAAGATCTAAACGCCGGTTGAAGAACCCATCCAGCACTTCCGATTTAACATTAGCGGACCTAATGGTAAGATTGGATGAAATGAATAAATTGCAAGATGCTAAGTTCGCTTCTTTTGAGTCATCCATGAACGCTTTATCAAAGTAAAATGATGAAATCAAGGACACAGTTATACATTTGTCCGCTAAATATGATGATGTTTTAAATAACTTAAAAAAACTTCAACAAGAAAATAATTTTTTTAAAAACCGCATTAAAACTCTAGAACTTGCTTGAACAATTTGAAAAAAAAATGCACGATCAACCACAGTTGAAATAAGAAATGTTCCGAAATCTGAATCTGAAGGCAAGGAAAATTTAATTGAATTTACAAAAAAGTTCGACACAGTAATAAACGTTCCGATTCAGGATTCGGAAATCCGTGATGTGTTCGGGATGAAGCTGAAAAACAAACCAAACGGTCCTATCATCGTCGATTTCACATCAACTGTTAAAAGAGAAAAGGTTATTATAGGTACAAGAACCTACAACAAAATGAACACCGGACAACGTTTAAGCACTGCGAGTCTCAATATGGATGGTGCCGCAAAGCCTACATATGTGTCAGAACACCTCACTGCATCAACCAGACGCCTATTTTACCTTGCTAGAATGTTTTCCAAAAACACAACTACGAAAACTGTTGGACATCGTTTGGCAAAGTACACCTGAAACGTAACCAAAATGAATCTCGCATACACGTGAGCTGCCAAGAAGATATTTTGAACCTTCAAAAAATATCTGTCTAGGTAATATATGCTTTTTAGAATTACTTAGCTTTTGTTTAGTTACATGCATAGTATATTTCCGCCTTTATTTAAAAAATATTAAAAGTTCTTTTTACGTTAATAAGCCTCATATACACGATCGCATTTCTAACGCATACAAAACAAACAAACTTATTCATACACTTATTTTTACAATTTTCAAAATACATTACACATTATTTGTTAAAAATACGAAAAACAATTTCTTAAATTAAACGTATTTTATGTCTTACCTAGCTCAAAAAATAATATGTGCTTCGTTTTAACGAGGCTTATTGTGATAAATTGCTATAGTTTAGTATTTTTTGTATTTACTATAAAATTCGATTCCATAGCTCACTTGCCTCGTGAATATTATCCTTCCGTAAAATTTAGTGAATTAATTACAATACAAAATGAAATCGACTCTTATAATGTAGCAGATTCCAATATATGTGATGCTGAAGATTGCGTGTCTTTTTTACCTTATTCGAACAAAACTCTTAAATTTTTTCAACAAAACATCCGTAGTAGTTCCGTAGTTTAAAATGTAATTTTTCTGGGTTACCGAATCTTGTTCGAACAAGAGTGGACTGGGACTGCATTGTGGTTACTGAATGCTAGCTAAAATCTATTCATTGCATTCCTCCTTTGGATGGATACAATAACTTTGCTTCTACTAACAATCTCACTTAAAATGAGGGTGTGGTTGTGTATTATAAAAAAGATTTAGTTATCTCAGTGGATGAACCTATAATATCTGACACCAATTGTCTTGTAATTACTATAAATAAAGATACGGTAGCTATTGCTGTTCATCGATCTCCCGGATACAAGAATATTAAAATAATAATTTTCTTCAATCCCTTAATATTATATTACTTAAATATTCAATTAAGCAAAATGTTATATTATTAGGTGATATTAATATTAACATAGCTAAACAAAGCAGAGACGCAAATCTTCCTATATGCTTAGATATGATAGCATTTCACGGAATGTTGCCTGCGTACTTCTTTCCCACGCATAATAAAACATGCTTGGATTATGTAATATTAAAGACAAAATTGAAAGCTCGTTGTCTCATTCTACAAACAACTCCAAGTGATCATTATAGTGTTGCCTTATACATTGCTTCTTCTTCTAAACATAAACCTGCAAAAGTATTAAAATACGTACATTTCGAACTTTTAAACACAGAACTAAAAAATAAGGATTTCAATTCTTTGTACGAGTTCAAAGATGTTAACGAAGCCGCTGTTTTTTTTTCCACAACATACTTCAATCGGCTATTATATCAAACTCAAGAGAAGTCAAAATTTCCAGACGTAAGAAAATCTTGAAACCCTGGATAACTTGGATAGGTGTTTTAAAATGTTTAAAAAATCGAGATAACCTAAATAAGAAACTAAAAAAAGACCCAGATAATGAGACGCTTAAAACTACTTATAAAAGATACAGAAATTATTGCTATTAAAAAAAACTTAAAAGAAACTATGAAAAACTGCAACTTCAAAATGCAGGAAAAGACAACAAAAAACTTTGGAAAGCTCTTTAAGAGATTACTTATACTAATAAACCAAAAGAGATTCCGTTAGAACTAATAGATACAAACAATCCGCAAGCATCGGTGAATGGTGTTAACCAATATCTTGCAAATGTTGGAAGAAACTTAGCTGAATACCTGTATAAAAATAAGCCCCCAGTCCAAACCCATGTCTTAAATTCATGCTGTCACTCTTTTACTCTTCTACTAACGAATGAGAATGAGGTAAGGAACCTAATAGCAGGTCTAAAGAGCAATTGCTCTGTTGGCCTGAATTTAATTTCCAGTGAGACTCTAAAAGCAAACAGATGTTCTAGCCTCTCCGATAGCGTACATTTGCAACTTATTATTTTAAACTGGAGTATTCCCGAGGATATATAAGAAATCACGAATCCACCCTATTCACAAAAGTGGAGACAGAGGCTGTGTCAATAACTATAGACCAATTTCTATTCTTCCTACTATCTCAAAAATCTTAGAACGCATTATAAATAATAGAATAGTAAAATATTTGGAAAATAAAAATCTTTTATCACATGCACAATTTGGCTTTCGAGCAAATAGATCTACATCAGATGCGGTCTTCGAACTAACAAGCTACATAGTTAATGACTTTGACAATAAGAAAAAAACAATAGGAATATTTTTAGATTTGGCAAAGGCATTTGACACAGTCACTGGTTATGCGGAAACGATTCTTGTATTTTTAATTTTATTCGAGGGTATATTGCCAAGCGTTTACCCATCCTTTGACCCTTCATCTCTTCCGTAAACACTGAAAGGGGAAAGGGAGGAGTCTAGAAGGTGACGCGATTCTTTCGACCAATGTGAAGCGCGCCCGACCGAGGTGCTTGGTGGGAAAAGCCAAGACAATAAAGGCGTCTCCTTGCCACGAGCCGCTAGTCTGAACCGCATCACCTGGAGCAGTCGCGCTCCAGAAGTAACCGCCTCACATAGTGTGAGATATCGTCGCGCACCGCCCTCTTCCTTCGCACCACTGGCCTGGATCGCATCTCTGGGGCGCCCCAAAAGAACCCACGTCACGTCGCATCACCGCAACGGAAGCGTCGTCCGCCGCACCAGAATCTCACCCCGGTAAGTGTTTTCCCGTAATTTTGTTCCTACTTGAGCATTTTGTTTATTAGTTAACCCGCCCCATTTTATTTCTCCTAATGTGCTCAAGTAGAATCCCCTCCTAACCTTGGCAAGCAATAGATTTGGAAGGGCGAGTGCATTGTCAAAGGGGCCGCGTGTCACATCCGCCATCTTGTTGAGGCATAAGAAGCACAAACTAATAAGAGTACTAACGTACATAAGAAGTCAGCGCGTATACAGTCCACTTAGTGTAACATCTCGCATAATAGGGTCAAGGCACAACCTGGGAATCGAACTCGGGAACCCTTAGGCCCGCCGCCCAACCATTTTTCTGGTCATTCGAGCGGATTTGGAACTGGTGCCCTATAGCCTCATCGAGTCGAACTGCTGAACCAATTCCTTGGATAATACACTCTAATTTAATATTGGATAGATTTATGTAGTTTTGTTTTAGTTTAAATTTAAAATTTGATTAGTTTATTCGCATAGGTAAATAGATACTTATTTATTTAAATAGTTAGACCCGCTTAATTTTATATCTTACTCGCTATTTGTGATTATACGAGCTTTAAATTCTTATCTAGTCGACGCGTGTTATCTCGTTTGATTGCAAGTTACCTTCAAAAAATATTAGTGACAGCGTGTTCAATTTAACGACGTAATACGGCACGATAAGACAATAGGGTGTTGTGAGATATAGTCGGGGCGCATTGTGTTCATCTTCCAGCGTTGTACGATATTCTTTGTGATTAAACTAATGTTAATTATAGTGATTCAAGATGGCAGTTAGTGGAAAAGAAATTAAACTTAAAACTCTTTACGCCAAGAGGGACGTACTCTTTTCACGTATACAATATATAAGTGATCATATAAAAAATATTAACGTAGATCAGTGCGGGAAA